TTAACCAATTCAAATTTTAAATGAATTAAAATTTGAATTGGTTTAATAGTCACATAATCCGCTAGCATATCTGATTAATAATGTGTTGAATATGTCTTCTAAAGATTCAAACCTCTCATCAATTAGAGTTTTATTGAGCAAGTTATGACCAATTTATTAATTGTTCAATAGAAACCTAAATGTGGGTGATGATAAAATGAATGGTTTACTAAAGCTACATGATTCAACATCAAACATCAGTTAATATTTGTTAAATAAATGAAATTAGTTATATTCAGAAACAACCTCTTTTCATAATATATGTATGTAACATAAAAAGGTATCAACAAAAAGAGATAGAACAATTACAATCAAAACTATATATCAATATTTGTTTTCCTTTAAGGATAATAATTATGATTCGGCATATTACAAATGGTTTACTAAAGCTACATGGTTCGAAAACAAACATCAGATGATATCTGTGATACAAATAAAATTGATTATATTTAGCAACCTATTTTCGATATATGTATGTAACATAAAAAAATATAAACAAAAAGAGATAGAATAAATGCAATTAAAACTACATATCAATATTTGTTTTCCTTTGTCATCACTAAAATTGAATTGGTTTTATGTGTATGATGATAAAATGAATGGTTCGGTAATAGGTCTATAGTTATCTAAATTTATTGTATAATATATCAAATTAAAGTTCCATCTTTCTAATTTCCAAAGATTCAAACTTCTCATCAATTAGATTTTTATTGTGTAAGTTATGGTCAATTTACTACTAACTATTAAGGGGAAATCAAGAAACTGGGGAAACTGAAATATGTGTGATGATAAAATGAATGTTCCAAAGTGGGGCTACATTTATCCAAATTAAGCATATAATATATCAAATTAAAGCTCTATCTGTCGAGTTTTTAAAGATTGAAACCTCTCATCAATTAGAGTTTTATTGGGCAAGTTACGATCAATTTACGATAGATTGTTAAGTGAAAACCGAAATGTATACTGATAAAATGAATGGTTCAGAATTGGGGCTACGGTTATCCAAATTAAGTGTATAATGTATCAAATTAAAGCCTTGTCTATCTAGTTTCTAAAGGTGCAAACCTCTCATCAATTGAATTATTATTGAGCAAGTTACAGTCAATTTACTACTAATTGTTCAGTGGAAACTCAAATATGTGTGATGATAACAGAAATGTTTCGGCAGTAGGGCTACAATTATCCAAATTAAGCTTATAATATATCAAATTAAAGTCTGTTTATCTCGTTTTCAAAGATTCAAATTGCTCATCAATTGGATTTTTATTGAACAAGTTATGGCTAATTTACTACTGATTATTCAGTAGAAATTGAGAAACAAGGAAAACTAAAATGTGTGTAATGATAAAAGAAATGGTTCGGCAATAGGGTTACAGTTATCCAAATTAAGCGTATAATATATCAATTGAAAGCCCTATCTGTCTAGTTTATAAATATTCAAACCTCTCATCAATTTGATATTTATTGAGCAAGTTATGGTCAATTTACTACTGACTGTTCAGTAGAAGCCGAAATATGTGTGATGATAAAAAGAATAGTTCGGCAGTGGGGCTACAATTATCCAAATTAAGCGTATAATACACCAAATTAAAGCCCTATTTGTCTAGTTTTCTAAGATTTAAACCGCTCATCAATCAGTTGTATTAATTTACTACTGACTGTCAATTAATATTTTACGGTATTAATTGACAGTCAATACATTCTTTGAGCAATTTACCAAAAAAATTGTCGGTGAAGGATCAATTATTAGCATGTTTGAAATTTACTTGCAATAAATAATCATTAATATTATGTGACAATTAAATTTGATATGTTATACGCTTCATGTTAATTTGATATACAAATAATTTACTTATTTTTATAATAAATCATTCATCCATCTTGTTCACATAACTCTTTTCATGATATTTGTTAAATAATTGGATTACATCCGCACGTTGCACAGATATGTTTATTCAATGTTTTTAAAATAGATTATAAACAAATTTATTGTAAAAAAAAAAAAAAAAAACTAATTATATTTCAAACATAATAATTATTAAATAATACAAATTTTAAAAGTATATAATTATGCTTTCAATCCCACCCACACATACAACGTGACAATTACAATTCCGTTATCGGAGAAGGCAATTCTTTTTGTTGTTGGGAATACTCTGCACTACTTTAGCGGCTGTATTATCAAGAATTATCAGCATGTAAAATTGCTCTCTTACTTATTAAATTAAGATGTATTATGTAGACTAATGTTTAGCAAATAATTAATCTCTAAAACTATTCCAGATTTATTTATATAATATAACACTCCTTAATTAAAAATATAATTACATTATACATGAGAATAGAATAACTACCAAGCTGATTATGTCTCTAATGCAAGGTATAAATCACATTTAAATATAGAGTTTACATTCTATTATAATGATTAATTTGATGGTCCCATAAAATTGTTATCCTTACATAAAAGCAAAATCAAATCCTTCCATTCATACAGTATGACTAATAGAATTTCATTTTGGTAGATTTGAGTAAGAAATAAGTCCATAACAGCTCCAGCATCCATTCCAGCGCCATATCATTGATCAGAGAAAGCAAATTATATATAAACCAATGGGTTACAAAATTTATTACGAGAAACTTGAATAAATGTTGTTGTTACTGTATATTTAACAAATTAAGTGAGCATCAATAAGAGATCAGAATTTCAATAACTTGTATAAATCTAACCTAACGACTACCCATCAAGAAATTATATGTATATAAATATATAAGTGAAAGAAGGAAGCACAGACTCCATCAGCTCAATTCATTTATAGCCAACTCTCAGGCTGCCACAACTGTTTGTTCTCAGATGCTTACCCTGAAACCAAAGACAACGTTCAGCTTGCATTCATCATACTTCAACGATTAAAACAAAAAGTACTCATTAAATGATCAAATTGTCATTTCAAAATTGATTGGCATCATCTTTAACTACCATACACATATCAAGACTCACTCCTATCTGCTAATCGCTTTCCAGCTCCATCAACCCCAAAGAAGGTTTTGGTGTAAGTGTTACATGAACCTGCTGTAGATGTAAACATATAAAACTTTACAATAACCGGCAACAGAATAAGAAGCCAAAACCACCATAGCAAAAATTGCTACTATAATCATTTCTAGCACCTTGGTCTAACTACTTTGCGTCATCAACACATTTCTAACCTTTTTGTTCAGAACGAACCACGTCTTTCTGCCAAAAAATCAGATATTGGTCATTCAGAATGAGACCATTCTTACTTGTTGTACATCAAGCAACTCATGGAAGTCAATACCTGCATTGTTAACAAAACCAAGTTCATTAGATTGACTTTGCCTCACAATGTAAGATCAGTTTGTTTTGTTTTATTTTCTCATCTAGTTCAGATTCTTACCAGCTTCATGAGATGTTGTGCAGGATCTCCTTTGGGAAATGCAGCAATGAATGACTCAACTTCGGATACAGCTTCTTCGTAGATGAAGTGTATATATATATATATATATATATATATATATATAGAGAGAGAGAGAGAGAGAGAGAGAGAGAGAGAGTCCATCTGAAGACAATATCAAGAACTTGTCCCTTGGGCTGACTCGATGATGATAGAGCGAAGGCAAACAGGTGATGTATGGAGAAGTACCGATGTAATTGATTCTAAATATCTCAAGAAGTGCATCATTCTACTTTGGCTGCCATGAAAAACCAAAGAATTAGACTTCTACAATCTCAATTGGTCATTAATATCATATCAGTATTTGAACAATTAGGCCTTGTATGAAGTTCAAACTATAAAGATTGGTGCCTAGTTGTGGAAGCAATTGGTATAAAAAAGGCAATGAACAGCGATTTTTCAATAAGTTATCAAATTTGAAGGGTGTAACTCCAATTTAAAGATTCATGATCTCTCGGTTACCAGTTGACCTTGGACAGATTGGAGTTCCTGCAAGCGAACAGCGGAGTGGATGATGAATATTTTAGATGATAAACACTCTGATGAGACCCCGCTGGTGCATGTTTTCAGCAGAAGGAAAAAGTGTGGACAGAAGGGATAAAATGGTAATTTCTACTGAACAAGCAGGGAACAAGTGGCATCCTTGGAAGGACAGGTGGCATCCTTGGATTGGAATGGGAATAATTCTGTTAGAATGAAGTGGGGCGTAAAAAGAGTGACAGGGGATTTTTGTGGGATATCAGAGAAAAAGGGGAAATTGGGACTGGGGAGGTACTGGCCCTCGAAGCCAGCAGATTATGGTTCTTTGTGTTCTTCGTCTGTTCTGGAAAATCAGTCTTGTTACTCTCCATTCATCTTTTCTTTTACATTTTGATACTCTTGAGAAAGTTGTACTGAACCCTTGATTATTAATACAATTATTGAGAATATTCATTGCTTGATTGAGTGAGTGTGTTCTGTGTTGTGTTCGTGGATCTGTTGCTGGATATTGTAGTGTATATAAGTTTGTTTGCAGGTGGAACAGCAGGAGAGATTTAAGGAAACAGTAGGGTCCTAACAAGTTGGTATCAGAGCAGGTGACGTTGGGGAATGGTTGGAACAAGGATGGAAAACAGATTAGATGTGGTGGAGAAGGACATGGGAACCATGAGAGATTGTTTGCTGGAAATCCAAGCTTGGATTAGGCGTAAGGATGAAGAAGAAGTTAGAAGAGCTGAAAGGGGTGGTTCGACAGAGACACCCATAAACAATACAGGTAACACAGAAGGGGAAAATNCTTGATTATTAATACACTTATTGAAAATATTCAGATTATTGATTGAGTGAGTGTGTTGTGTGTTGTGTGTTGTGGTCGTGGATCTGTTGCTAGATATTGTAGTGTATGTAAGTTTTTTGCAGGTGGAACAGCAGGAGAGATTGAACGAAACAGCAGGGTCCTAACAAGTTGGTATCAGAGCAGGTGATGTTTGGGGAATGGTTGGAACAAGGATGGAAAACAGATTAGATGTTGTGGAGAAGGACATGGGAACCATGAGAGATTGTTTGCTGGAAATCCAAGCTTGGATTAGGCGTAAGGATGAAGAAAAAGTTAGAAGAGCTGAAAGGGGTGGTTCGACAGAGACACCCATAAACAATACAGGCAACATAGAGGGGGAAAATGAGGACCCTAACGCAAATATGAATGATGAAAACGGAATAGATGGTCGACGATGTCCAGGATACGCTGGCCGGAAAATCGAGATGCTAGTCTTCGTCGGAGAGGATCCGTATGGGTGGTTGTTCCAGATAGAGAGGTATTTCAACGTGTATCAAGTGGCAAAAGAAGAGTGGCTGAACACGGTGGCTGTGTGTTTGGAGGGAGACGCCATAAATTGGTTCTAGTGGATGGAAATCCACGCTCTAGTCATGACTTGGGCAGTGTTTAAACTGTCTCTGCTTCAGCGGTTCGGAGGATCCCAAGATGGTGGTCCGTATGAGGCGTTGATGGGAATCCGGCAGACCGGAACAGTGGATGACTACCGCCGCAAGTTTGAAGCCCTGTCAGCTCCATTGAAGGATGAGAAGGAAGATTTACTTTGGGCTGTGTTTCTGAATGGGCTAAAACCCGAATTAAAAGCTGAGGTTAGATTGGGCCAACCCACTTCCATTATTCAGCTAATTGAACTGGCCCAGAAGATAGAAGAAAAAAATAGGGCCTTGGAAGAATTAAAATATGGACTAAATAAGGGTGTTAAGTTTGTTATGGGCAGTGGAATTAGTTTGATAAATTGGGCCTATAGTGGTGGATCGGGTAAAGTTTTTGGCAGCAGGAAAATGGGTCAAAGCTTGCACAAAACTCTAATCCATTAGTTCCTTCAGGTAGCGCGAATTTAAACTCTAGCCAACATCAAAATTTTTTTGCCCAGTCAAGTCGCCAATGGAACGAGAGAACCAGCCATTTTTCTCTAAACGCTAGTCAACGTAGCAGCAGCAACTCTGTCCAGCAGCAACCAAGCAGCTCAGTTTTCAGAAAAGAATTTCCCTTCAAACAGATGACAGAACTTGAGATCCAGAGGAAAAAGGCGCGTGGGGTTTGTTTCCGGTGTGACGCAAATTTTTTTCCAGGCCACCGGTGTGGAGACAAGCAGTTCCACGTCGTGTTGATTGATGAGGATGAGAGTCAAGATGAGCCAAATGACGTTGGGGCAGATCTGAGTGAGAACGTGGAGGAGCAACTACCAAATGATGCGGAGCTTTCAATTAGTTCAATCGTGGGAATCTCAAGTCCGAAAACCATGAAGGTAAAGGGAAAAATCAGTGGGGCTGAAGTGATAGTGTTGATCGACAGTGGAGCATCGCATAATTTTATCAGCAAGGGTGTGATTGAGAAGTTGGGATTACCAGTGATGCAGACGCAAACCTTCGGGGTACGTGTGGGAGACGGATATCAGATGCGATGTGAGGGAGAATGTAGGGAGGTACAGTTGGACATTCAGGGGACTCCGATTATACAGAATTTTTTTCCATTTGAGATGAATAGTGCAGATGTGGTTTTGGGTGTGGCATGGTTGGAAACTTTGGGGGAAACAACGGTGGATTGGAAAACACAGGTAATGAAGTTCAAACTAGGAGATAGAATTGTGAAATTTGTGGGTGACCCTTCTCTGAGCAAAACTCTGATTTCCTTAAAAGTTATGCTGCGGACAATTCAACGCGAGGGACATGGGTGTTTTGTGGAATTTGGTAATTTGCAGAAGCTAGGTGAATCACAAGTTGAAGAGGACAGCGGCATTCTACCAGTTCTGGTTCGGTATCAATCAGTCTTCTCTTCACTTCCAGGATTACCACCGCCAAGGACCCAAGACCATTCCATTAACCTCCTCCCCGGCTCCCAAACCCCAAATATTAGACCTTACCGCTATCCCTACTACCAGAAAAATGAGATAGAAAAACTAGTGAGTGAGATGTTAGCTGCCGGTATCATTAAGCCCAACCTTAACCCCTTTTCCAGCCCAGTGTTATTGGTGAAAAAGGAAGACGGCGGTTGGCGATTTTGTGTGGATTACAGGGCTCTTAACAAGATCACGGTTCCAGATAAGTTCCCCATCCTAGTGGTTGACGAATTGTTTGATGAATTAGGAGGAGCTTCCATTTTTTCCAAATTAGATTTGAAGTCGGGCTACCACCAGATTCGAGTAAAGGAGGGGGAAACCCACAAAACGTCTTTTAGGACACACGAAGGACATTATGAGTTCTTAGTCATGCCCTTTGGGTTGACTAATGCCCCAGCCACTTTCCAAGCCTTGATGAATGACATATTTCGGCCTTTTCTACGTCGGTTCATTCTGGTATTCTTTGATGACATATTGGTTTACAGCCACACTAAAGAGGATCATATCCGGCACTTAGAGATCACCCTCAGCACCCTTGAAGAACACCACTTGGTTGCCAATAAGAAGAAGTGTTTCTTCGGTCAGCGAGAATTAGAATATTTGGGGCACGTCATTTCAGCATGTGGGGTGGCAGTTGATCCTTCCAAAATTGACAGTGTTTTACAGTGGCCAAGTCCGAAGGATATCAGGGCATTACGAGGATTTCTGGGTTTGACCGGTTACTACCGAAGGTTGGTCAAGGATTACGGGAAAATCGCCATTCCTCTTACCAGTTTACTTAAGAAAGATGCATTTCAATGGAATTCGGAAGCCCAAAAGGCCTTCGATGAGCTTAAGAGGATAATGACTTCAGTTTCGGTGTTAGCTTTGCCAGACTTTACTAAAGAATTTATCATTGAAACGGATGCCTCAGGGAGTGGGTTAGGGGCTGTCCTGATGCAAGAGGGTAGACCGTTGGCTTTTTTGAGCAAAGACTTATCATCTCAATCAAAGCTTAAATCAGTATATGAGCGGGAATTAATGGCGATTGTGATGGCAGTTCAGAAGTGGCGACATTATTTATTGGGGCGTCGCTTCATTATTAGGACAGACCAAAGGAGCCTCCATTTTCTAACGGATCAGCAGTTACTAGGTGAAGATCAACAGAAATGGGTTGCTAAACTGATTGGGTTGAATTTTATTATCCAGTATAAACCAGGGGCAGAGAATCGGGTAGCTGATGCATTGTCTAGAAGAGGTGAACAGGTGGAATTTGATGGGTTATCTGTCAGTTATTTTGTAGGTATGGAAGAATTAGAGGATGCTATTCAACAACATGACAAATTGCGTGGAATTGTTCAAAAATTGTTGTTGGATCCCAATGGCCACCCACCATTCACGTTAGTTGGCCACCATCTCTTGTGTAATGGCCGCCTAGTTGTACCAAGGAAAGGGGCCCACATTCCATTTCTTCTACATGAGTTTCACTCATCTCCTATTGGGGGTCATTCGGGTTTCTTTCGTACTTTTAAAAGACTCAGCAGTGTGGTTTACTGGGAGGGTATGAAACGAGATATCAAGGAGTTTGTCGATTCCTGTGCAGTTTGTCAACAAAATAAATACCAGGCCTTGAGTCCCGCGGGGTTATTGCAGCCTCTATCCATTCCTGAGCAGGTTTGGGAAGACATATCTATGGATTTCATCACCGGGCTTCCCAAAACAAATAGTGCCGATACCATCCTGGTCGTGGTTGACCGACTAACTAAGTACAGCCACTTCTTGTCCCTTAAGCATCCCTACACGGCCACGGATGTTGCCCACCTTTTTATCAAGGAGATTGTCTGGCTACATGGGTTTCCCCTCTCCATTATATCCGATCGCGACCGAGTTTTCATCAGTCATTTTTGGAAGGAGTTGTTTAAACACTCGGGCACGCAGCTTCGCATGAGCTCGGCATACCACCCTCAAACTGATGGCCAGTCGGAAGTGGTCAATCGATGTGTTGAAACATACCTTCACTGTTTTGTGAGTAGCCAGCCTCGCCAATGGCCTAAATGGATCTCTTGGGCAAAGTTCTGGTTCAATACGACTTTCAACGGCTCCACAAGTATGACTAGACCTGGCAAAACGGGTGGGTGGGCCGGGTACGGTCCGGGTTATACGGGTACGGGTCATACGGGTGTGGGTCCTTATACGGGTCAATATATACGGGTCCAAAATATTGGACCCGTGCCCTACCCTATACGAGTACGGGTGGACCCGCGGGTATACCCGTTTTTTCTCTCTCTAGATTTTAGTTTTCTTTCATCCCTAATAGTTTTCAATTATGACAATTACACCCCCAAAATTCCTACAATTTTAATTTTTGACATTTACACCCCCTAAATCAACGACTCTAAACTCAATTCAATTAAGAATATAAACAAATATGAACCAAAATAAATAAATAACACATAAACAAACAATAACATATAATACAAAACTACAAATACCAACCAAAATAAACAAATACAAAATCACTAATACACAATTACACATAAACAAACAAAATAAGTCAATAAACTATAAATACGAATTAAAATAAACAAATACATAATTGTTTATTTCTAAAAAATAATATTTCTAATTTAGTATAAACAAATAAAATCAAACATAATTGTAAATAAAAAAAAAAAACTCTTGATATAATGAAATGCACAATTATATCAAGCCCATTCTCACTGGCTGGCTCTGTAGCCTTGTTTCGGTCTATTCTCTCTCCAAATCCATCCCCAAAAGTGGAGCCTTCTCGTCGTTAATATCGAAGTTGAGCGTAGCCCAGTTGAGAAATGAAGGGCTGGTTCTGGGTGTTTTTTGTGTTGGCAAGACTGGTGGCCACTTACTGGCAACAAGCGTTTTTGTGGGAGGTGGCTTTGAGTGGGGTCCATGAATTGAGGGTTAATGTTTTTGAAAAGGTTTTGCAGAGAGGCTTGGCGTTTTTTGAAGGTGGGTCTGTAATTTCGAGTACCTTAAATGCCCCTTGGTTTGCAGAGTCATGTAGATGTCTCTGTAAACCAATTCTACTGCTGAATTTTCTGTGTCTTGCAGACTTGCAGATTCTATGTTCCTCTCATTGGTGAGTGAGTGAAAAACTATTGGCTTTGTTGTTGTTGATGGTTTTTCTCAACTGGGTTTGTTTGCTTTTTGGATTTTTCTGGTAAAGTTCGTAGCTTTATTTAGTTTGTTGTGGTTTTTTAATTGCTATTTAGGCCCGAACCAGGAATGGGAATGACTAACTATTGACGAAGCAACGAGTGACGAATCGAAGCTGGTTCCTCACTGACGATGAGATGCGGCCGCAATCTGAGACTGAGAGATCATAGATGGGATGTTGAGATGAGAGTGAGACTGTGAGAGGGAGGCGTGAGCGTGATTCGTGATGAGTCTGATGACTGATGAGATGCGTGAGAGGGAGACGTGAAAGGGAGGCGTGACTGCGTGAGTGTGAACTGTGATCTCTATTCGTGATTGGTGATTCCGATTCGTGATGACTGTGACTCTGTGAGAGGGAGACGTCACGCGTGAGAGGGAGGCATGAGTGTGAACTGTGATCTCTGCGTGATAAAAAATTAAAGACTTTTAGGGATTCAGACATTCAGTGAATAGTAGTAGCCTTGGCAAATACGGGTGCCCGCGGGTGCCCACGGGTTCACCCGTATGACCCGTGATTTATTGGACCGGGTACGGGTACGGGTCACAAAAAATGGGTTTAATTTATTGGACCCGTACCCTATATTTTTTACCCGGGTACGGACCGACCCGCGGGTCCAAACCCATTTTGCCAGGTCTAGGTATGACCCCTTTTAAAGCACTTTATGGGCGTGATCCTCCCATTCTTCTTAAATTTTCAGATCATGGTTCACCAGTTGACGAAGTGAACTGTCAACTGCAAACTCGCAATCTCATCCTTGCTAAGTTACGGGATAATCTCCTCAAAGCCCAAACCCGAATGAAACACTATGCCGATGCAAAGATACGAGAAGTTCAGTTAGAAGTGGGAGATTCGGTTTACCTTAAGTTGCAACCCTACTGACTTCGTTCCTTGGCTCGTCGGCACAATGAGAAACTCAGCCCCCGCTTCTATGGCCCTTTTGAAGTTATAGAAAAGATTGGATCAGTGGCCTATTGTTTGGATCTACCCCCTTCGGCACGCATCCATGATGTTTTCCATGTGTCACAACTCAAGAAAACAAAGTACCCGCCGCCCATTGCACAACCCTTTCCTGCAGCACTTGACGAGGATTTGGTATTGCAAGTCGAACCTGAAGAGGTTCTACGTAAGCGCAAACTGTTGAATGGTACTTTGGAAGTCTTAATCAAATGGAAGGGCTTACCCACATATGAGAACACATGGGAGGATTTCACCTCCATTGACAGCCAATTTCCTTTCTTCCACCTTGGGGACAAGGTGACTCTCCTTAGGGAAGGTAATGATGAGACCCCACTGGTGCATGTTTTCAGTAGAAGGAAAAAGCGTGGACAGAAGGGATAAAATGGTACTTTCTACTCAACAAGCAGGGGACAAGTGGCATCCTTGGAAGGATAGGTGGCATCCTTGGATTGGAATGGGAATAATTCTGTTAGAATGAAGTTGGGCGTAAAAAGGGTGATAGGGGATATTTGTTGAGCATCAGAGAAAAAAGGGGAAATTGGGACTGGCGAGGTACTGGCCCTCGAAGCCAGCAGATTATTGTTTTTGTGTTCTTCGTCTGTTCTGGAAAATCAGCCTTGTTATTCTCTATTCATCTTTTCTTTTACATTTTTGATACTCTTGAGAAAGTTGTACTGAACTCTTGATTATTAATACACTTATTGAAAATATTCAGATTATTGATTGACTGAGTGTGTTGTGTGTTGTGGCCGTGGATCTGTTGCTGGATATTGTAGTGTATATAAGTTTTTTGCAGGTGGAACAGTAGGAGAGATTGAACGAAACAGCAGGGTCCTAACATCCTGCAGCTCATAATGACGCCTAAACTTACAACCAGTCCAATACTTTCAGCCACTTGATGTTTTGCCTAAAATGGTATATGTTATTGACACGGTGTATATTTGTCATCGTATAATGCATTAATCTGCTGCTCCAGGTCACATATAGAATTGCATCTGACAATAGTCCTTTCTTCGTTTCCCATAAATCTGCAATTTCAAAGAAAATGCCTTTTCATGGGGCGTCTTTGAAACAGGCTTCTTTTCACGGGGCTCAGAAGACGCCCAATTAAGCTTGAAAGTTCTTGGAGTTTGGCATTGTTAAGCCATTAAAAGCTTCCAATGTATGACCTGCAACATCATTAGTTTCAAACTCAAGAAAACCAAAACAAGAGTTTTGTAGTGGAAAACCTGGCTCCTTGAATCTCCACACTTGAAAATGCAGAAAGCAAGTACTTGTCATTTATCCAAGATTCTAAGTCTCCAATCCATAAAGTTTTTTCCCAAAATTTTGTATGGTTGGGGCTGTTGGGAAGAGGTATTGGCAGTGTCTAATGGTTTGGGTTGGTTAGGAGGAGGTATGGCATTATTTGGGGGTGAGGTAGGTGGTTTGGGCATTTTGTCGAACATGTGGTGGCAGGAAAAAAAGAGTGTAATTTTGGTTAATTGAAAGGTGCAAACAATGGTTATTTGTGTGTAGAGGCCAGGTTTGAAGTGGTTTAGGTGTTTGATAAGGAGTGGTCGGCAGAGCAAAAAAATAGTCAAAATGCAAAAGCAGGCATTGGAAGCAGGGCGCAGGCGCTGGGAACTAGCGCGCGCGCGAGCAGCAAGCTTGCTCGCAGACTCTACGAAGGACTGGGACATTTAGCGAGCAGTTGGCATGCACAAAAAAGCTCCCGCAAACTATGAACAAAAAAAGTTACCCAACTCAATCCAATCTCTCCAGACAAAGCGCTGCAGAAACAATAAACCTTCCCTGTTTCATTTAATGACGCATGGTAATATAATACTAAGTAGACCATTACTGGTCAACAGGGAGATATGATTATTTCAAGAAAGCTTGATTGGATCTTTGCATCTCTTTCTTGGTTCCTTGATCGACTGACCACTGTTTTCAGAGTTTAGGCCTCGTGATGTATTCGATCATAGTGCTATGGTTGTCCGCTTTGAATCTAGTTGAGGAAAGGTACCCACCCCTTTTAAATTTCTGAATTTTTGGGCTGATTGTGCAGATTTTATGGATATTATTCAGGCAATATAGGACATGCCCATAGTAGGCAATCCTATGTTCCGACTTACATAGAAATTGGGGTTGTTGAAATGGAAGTTCAAATCTTTACATGTTAGAGATTCCATCCATATTTCCAATAGGGTGACTGAGGCTCAGGCTCAATGGGCGGCAGCCCAAGCAAATTTGGACTGGGACCCCTTTTCTACTAAGTGTATCTCTCAGGAGAGGAACCTTGCCAACCAATATTTTAGTCTTTGCAGAGATGAGGAGACTTTTTTAAAGCAGTGGTCTCGTATTCAATGGTTGAACTTAGGGGATCAGAATACTAAATTCTTTCATAAGTCGTTGATACACAGGCAGGTTCGGAATCGCATCCATGGTTTGATTGATGCGAATGGTACTTATATTACTGACAGTCGGGATTTAGGGCGTTTGGTGGTGAGGTTTTTTCAAGGTCTTCTTACTGCCCCTTATCAACCTCGAGTTGAGAAGGCTTCTAGGTACTTTTCTAGATGCATTTCTTATGGTATGATTTCTCCCTTGATTGCTCCTATCATAGATGATGAGATTAGGACTACTTTATTTTCTATCTCAGATGATAAAGCTCCTGGTCTGAATGGGTATAATTTTTTTTTTTTTTTTTTTTTTAAGAGGGCATGGGATATTATTGGTACTGATTTCAGAGATGCGGTGTGATATTTCTTAGCTATTAATGAAATGTCTAGATGTGTTAATACTACCAAGATTGCTTTGGTTCTTAAGGTGGAGATCCCGAGTCATATGATTGACTTTAGACCAGTATCTTGTTATAATGTACTATACAAGTGCATTACTAAGGTGATAGTGAATTAGTTTAAAGTAGTGCTTCTGAAGGTTATTGGGAGTTCTCAGTTAGCTTTTGTCTTGAGGCAGAGGATTTCTGATAATATTTTGTTGACACAAGAGCTTTTGCGAAATTATCATCTTGAGGGTACTTCACCTCGATGTGCCCTTAAAGTTGATATTCGAAAAGCTTTTGATATTGTAAGTTGGGATTTCATCTTTTTTGGGTTGCGTACTATTGGGATTCCTGAGCGTATGGTAAGATGGATTATGACATGTATTTCTACTATATATTTCTTTGTTGCACAGAATGAAGAGCTCCACGGTTTTTTTTAAGTCCTTTTAGGGTGTTTGGTAGGGGGATCCTTTTTCTCCTTACTTATTTGTTCTGACTATGGGAGGGTTGGCCGATATTCTTCGGGAAACCTCTCAGAGCCCCGAGTTCTATTACCATTGGAGATGTAGGCAAGCAACTATTACTCATTTGTGTTTTGCGAATAATTTGATGGTGTTTTGTTAGGTAGATGTTTCCTCTGTTAGTCATATCAAATCGACCTTGGATTCTTTTGCCAAGGTTTCTGGTTTGGTGACTAATGTAGAGAAGAACTAGTTGTTTCTTTCTGGAGTTACAGATGAGGGGAGAGTTGGGTTACAGTCTATTTTGGGATTCCAGTTGGGGGTGTTACTGGTCAGATATCTAGGGGTTCCTTTGATCTCTACTTGACTTCAACATTCTGATTGTAAGCCTTTGTTAGAGTGGATTTTATCTCGGATTAGGTTATGGACACTTTGACCTATGCAGGTTGACTTTAGTTGATCAAGTCAATGCTCTTCTCTATACAGGTTTATTGGTCTTCCATGTTTCTTTTATTGACAGTTGTTGTTAGACAGATTGAAAGTATTTTGGCATCTTTTCTTTGAAAGGGTATTTCTTTGTCCCCTTCGGGTGCAAAAGTTGCATGGTCTTCTGTTTGCTATCTGTTGAGAGAGGGTAATCTGGGGATTAAAAGGATTTGGGATTGGAATCGATAGATCTTTCTTAATATGCCATAGCAACACTTAGTGATCGATCTTCTATTGGTCCTCTTGGGTTCGTTTGGTTGCTTCATGGTCAGTCATTTTGGCATATTTGAGGTTGTCTGGGGCACATGGTCTTGGAGGAAGATCCTACTTAGCAGGGATTGGTGTCGTGGTCATATTGTGACTTGTATCGTTGATGGTAGAGACACCTCATTATGGCAAGATTATTAGCTACCGCAAGGGCCTTTAGTGTGATTTGTTTCCTTTTGGACTTTGACTTTCTACTGGTCTGCCATGGGTTGCTCGGGTTTAGATATTATTCGAGATAGTGGGATTTTCCTTTGGGTTGTGCATATCTTCAGCATATGGGACTCTGTTACACTGCAACCTTTAATGGGTCTTCTTGATCATTTTGTGGGGAAGAGTCACTTTTGGCAGATTCTCTATTGATTCAGCTCGGATTTGTTACAAGAGAAAAAAGTGAACTCGATTCATCATCTCTTATGGTTTCTGGGGCATGTTCCAAGCTATTCCTTCATTTTATGGCTTGCTTCTCGGTCAGCTTCGCACCATGGATCGTCTCAATCTTACGATGTCATACTCTTCCCACTGTCTTCTGTGAGGTCTGCTATTGAGACTCATGATCATTGTTTTTAGCTGTGATTTCTCTAGTTTGTTTGGCAGGAGGTTGCTGAGAGATGCTCCTTGCATGGCCTTCTTTCCCTTGGTTCCCTTTGGTCCGTGGCTAGCTTGCATATTAATCGCAAAGGGGACTTCAGCACCTTCTTTCACATTAGTCCTTTTAGTTCACAGTTTATTTTTCGTGGTTTGAAGGAATAATCCTTGTTCCATCGCATTATAGCTCTCATAGAGATATGTCTCGGCTATTTGTAATTTAGTCCAGACAAGATTTTGGGTTGAGCACCAGTATGAGATCTCAGCCCAACTTCGGTAATATGGCATTTGCCTAATTAGATTTGTGGGGCGCCTGCGTGCTCCTTTTTATGCATTTGTGGCTTTGTGGTTTTTCCATGTGTTTAGACTGAGAGTTTCCGTCTTTCACTTGGGTATGCTCCTCGTATTTTTGAATATTTTTTTCTCTTTTATATAATTCTTACCTTTCCAAAAAGAAAAGTAATTAAATGAAGCTCATCTCATTAAAAAAAAAAAAAAAAAAAACTTATGGAAACCTCTAATCCCTAGTGCATATAGTATGTGCACTTTGTAATGCATGAATATTAATCTTGAGTTAATTATGCATGATATCCTTTGTAAAGCTTACAACAGGATATATATCATGGATGACTTTTTAACAAGTTTGATCACCATATTAAGCAACTGTAGCATGAATAAGAGGAGCTTTTCAGCAACGCAGTGTGTTTTGGTTCTATCCACAAATTCTTCTCTAACTTCCGAAACAAAAAATTGGAAACACCAAACTACTACTTTCAATGATTAAAAGAAAAAGAAAAAAAGAACAAGTGGCAGTAGCCAGACACAGATCAAACAACATAACAAGTACACAAAAGACAAAGATATATATGTTCCGGCCAATACGTCTATAACTAGAGATGGTAATTTTGCACATATTAAGAACATATCAAATATCAATCATGGTTTAACCTAGCATGAACTTGGCATAACTTTCTAGTTCCACTCATTTTACGTCATGTTGTTTCCCAACAAAGCACCATTATAATCTATGTATATCTAAACCATCCTCTATTGGACAAATGTAGTAGGAACTACAAAAAATCAATTATTTCAACATTTTTCTGGCTTTTTGATTTCCAACTTGTACTCTGACTTCTTCTACCACCAGCCTTCACATTCTGAATTGATTCTTAAACTCAAAAGCTTTTTCATAAATCATGTTTAAGTAAAGCCATACTTACTTGATGGAAGTAATGTTTTTCCCATATAAAAGTGCATCCACCAAATGGTCATATTTATCTGAAGTAATCAAAGATATAAGCTTATCTTCATCCTCAATGACCACCCCAAAATCCAACAATTTGGTAACTAATGGTTGAAATCATTAAGATGATCACTCATAGACGACTTCCTTTATCGAAAATTAGATAATTGTTCTTTAAGTAAAACCGACTAAGGATTTCTTCATTACAATTCTCTAATTTTGCCCATATGCTTGCCGCTGAATTCTCCTTTAGTACCTGAGATAAAATCCCTTCTGTCAAATACGAACGGATTATACCACTGCTTGGAGATCAAACTCCTGCCAATCATCACAGACATCTCTATGTGTTTCCATGCTTGCCCTTAATGTTATGCAAGCCTAGAACAATCAACACTCCCGCACTTGAACTGCCACAATTTGAAGCTAATCTTTCCATCAACTTCTCCACGTCAAACTAATATTTGAACCTTTCCAATAATCGGCATCTTCTCACGCTACAAGAACCTGAACTCGGATACCAAAGTAGTGCAAAAACCAAATAAGTAATACATTTCCAAATACTTGATTTACAATGCAATCAAAAAACAACTCTAGCATTAGCCTTTTTTATGGATGTTGGTTTTCACTATTGAAGAAAAAAATACAAAGAGTTACAACACTCTCTCACACCCCTCACCAAAAACCTAAAACAGGCAACCAAAAAAAAAAAAAAAAAAAAAACTAAATCTAAACCCACCTTCACCACCAAAGAGAATTATTTGTATGTAGGTGAATGCACTAAGAGAGTTGAGAAACGAAACTTACCGACCGAAACAAGTGAACGAAAAAATCTCCGACTTCATACGCTTAATAATTTGAAGACAGTTTGAGAATTCTGATTAACTATAATTAATAGGTTTAGAAAAAGGTAAATAAACAAATATTATAAATTAAAAATGAAATTACTTGGACACCCTCGTTTAATCAGGGGTAAATACTAAGGCTCCGTTTGGTTGGTTTTTGGGAATACTATTATTAGTATTCCCCAAAAAGTTAAACAGTAAAATGCCCAAAAACTCACATATATTATCCAATATTATTCAACTTTTTTTAAACCCCTTAAATTTGTTAATTTAATTTAATACTCCTAAATATTTTTTTTCAAAATTGCAAAAATACCCCTAAACCCACATTATACTAGATTCCGGCCACCATTGCCGGAAGTTGGCCGGAATCTAGTAGGATGGCACACTATCGGCTAGATCTTGCCGGTAGTGCGCCGATCTAGCTTTTTTCGGCCAGATCCACGGTGGATCTGGCCGAAAAAGGTCAGATCTTTGGCCATAACCAGATGTCAACGACGACCAACATACGGTCGTCGTTGACCATCAACGATAGTTGTATCTTTGGTCATCGTTGACAAGCAAATTTGGCCAGATCTGGCCGTCAATGGCTAGATCTAGCCATAGATCTAGCCTTTGCTAGCCAGATCCACAGTGGATATGGCCAGAAAAGGTCATACGGTGCACGACCGGAAAGATCCAGTTGGTCATGCGTCGATACGGCGACTCCGACCACCCTCCGGCGATGGTGGCCGGCTGTCCGTATTTGATGGGTGGGTTGGGGGTGTTTTTGTTAACTTTTAATGTTTTATTATAGGGGTGTTTTGTAAAAAAACAAACATAGGGGGTATTTTATTAATTTGTAAATCCTAAATCGTAATACCCGCTCAATTCAACTTTTTTTTAACTTTTTCAAAAAACGTTTCCCAAAAACATAAAAATGTGAACCAAGCGGAGCCTAAATAATTAACTACTCCGTTTACAATGCAATCAAAAAACAACTCTACATTAGCCTTTTTTATGGATGTTGGTTTCACTATTGAAGAAAAAACATACAAAGAGTTACAACACTCTCTCACACCCCTCACCAAAAACAAAACAGGCAACCAAAAAAAAAAAAAAAACTCCATGTGTTTATTGACTGAGAGTTTCGGTCTTTCACTTGAGGTATGACCCTTGTATTTTTGTATAGATTTTTTACTCTTTTATATAATTCTTACCTTGTCCAAAAAGAAAAAGTAATTAAATGAAGCTCATTTCTCATTAAAAAAAAAAAAAAAAAAAAAAAAAACTTATGGAAACCTCTAATCCCTTAGTACATATAGTATGTGCACTTTGTAATGCATGAATATTAATCTTGAGTTAATTATGCATGATATCCTTTGTAAAGCTTACCAACAGGATATATATACATGGGATGACTTTTTAACAAGTTTGATCACCATATTAAGCAACTGTAGCATGAATAAGAGGAGCTTTTCAGCAACGCAGTGTGTTTTGGTTCTTCTATCCACAAATTCTTCTCTACACTTCCGAAACAAAAAATTGGAAACACCAAACTACTACTTTCAATGATTAAAAGAAAAAGAAAAAAAGAAACAAGTGGCAGTAGCCAGACAACAGATCAAACAACAATAACAAGTACACAAAAGACAAAGATAATATATGTTCCGGCCAATACGTCTATAACTTAGAGATGGTAATTTTGCAACATATTAAGAACATATCAAATATCAATCATGGTTTAACCTAGCATGCAACTTGGCATAACTTTCTAGTTCCACTCATTTTACATGTCATGTTGTTTCCCAACAAAGCACCATTATAATCTATGTATATCTCAAACCAACC